ACTTCTTGCTGCAACATCTGTGCAGGGACATTCTTAGGCTCAATTTTCAGGAGACTGTTGATGTCTGCAAAGCTGGATTTATAGTCCTTGAGTGCCTTATAGGCTTGAGCCCGTCTGTAAAATGCCTTCACATTTTCCCCATCCAGCTTGAGGGCTTCTGTGCAGTCCTTCACCGCTTCCTTGTAGTACTGCTTCAGGGCCAGATAGCAGAGCGCTCTGTTGCTGTACGTGGTGGACTCCAGGTTACTATACGAGAGGCTTTCACTGTACTTCTCAATAGCTTTCTTATGGTTTCCCTTCTTTACAAGCTCATTGCCTTCTTCCTTCAGAACTCTGGCTCTCTCCACATCCCCAGAAGGCACTCTGCTCTTGGCAGTTGTGGTTTCTTTGGATTTGCCTTTAGGTGTCTCTTTGTGATATTCTGAATCCCTCCTCTTCTGAGCTGAAACAGGCACCAAGGGGATAGAGGGCAGTTTCAGACGCCACTCCGGCCCAAGTGAGTCCATGAGAGCTCTGGTCATTCTGTTGACGCCTTCCAAGGCTGACATCACACTGTCATCAATTTGCAGCACAGTCTTGTAGTCCACGTAGGCCAGGGGATACTTCTCCAGAGCCTCATAGGCTGCAGCAATGGCTTCATGCTGAAGGGAACCAAGGCCAGTGTTGAAGTGCAATCTGATGCAATCTCTGCAGTTCCCATCCTTCAAGTGGCATGCTGCTCGGTTGGAGTAGAGAACACTTTCTTCTTTATAGTTCAAAGAACCTTGCTCCTGCATCACCCGCAGCGCGCGGCTGTAGAGCGAGGAGGCCTCGGAGAACTGGCCGTTGCGGAAGCTCTGGTTGCCGGTGGCGCGCAGCCGCTCCGCAGAGTCTGAGAGTTTGGGGGCCATCCTGGGGTCCCCCGGCAAATCGTGGCCGCCTCCGTTCCCGCCGCCGAGCCTTACGGAACAGCGTCCGGGGGAAGCCAAGTGAGGAATTTTTAAAAAAATATTTTTATTGATTTCAGAGAGGAAGGGAGAGGGAGAGAGAGATGGAAACATCAATGATGAGAGAGAATCATTGACTGGCTGCCTCCTGCACAACCCACACTGGGGAACGAGCCCACAACCCAGGCATGTGCCCTTGACCCAAACCCGGGACCTTTCAGTCCACAGGCCAACACTCTATCCACTGAGCCAGACTGGCTAGGGCTCAAGCAAGGAATTTAAGTGAAATTGCTATAAGAGAACTTCTTCCATCCCTTCTACTTATCTTCATGAATATGTTAGACTGAATTCTCAAGAAGGCAAAGTGTAAAGAAAAGATTAGGTGCTAACATATTATTGGGTGGATGGGTGAATCTCAGGTCATTGAGAGTAAAAGACAAATGGAATGAGCCAGCAAAAGACAGAATGCCAATGCAACATGGTGCATTATTACACTTGTCACAGTCTTACAAAAAACTCAGTTGGTTGCTCAGATACATGGGCCATTTCTGCATTTATGGGAAGATTTCTTGGAGCTATTGGTTCTTAGAATAGTCTGTTAGGAAGAGAAAGGGCAAGGAGTTTATCTGTGGGCCTGTAACCAGATCCTGCTTTTCACTGTCAAAGTTTGCTCCTGGAGTGTTAACCTCACACCCTTTCAGGTTATGTAACAGCCCCCCTGGGAAGTTGTTGGTGAAGCCAGAGCCTCTGTGAGTTGGAACTGGGCTGCGGCTGCCATAAGCAGCATAATAAAGGCAGTTCTGAAGCTTAACCCACGACCCAGGGGAGGCCAAGGCACCCGTGGGATTAATTAGTGCAGTGAGGTTGTCGGGTGGGACTCTACACTGAGAGTTTACTAGGTTTCCATGTTGCTTCTTGTAAAGAATAATGGGGGAAGTCTCCAGGGGATAATTACTGTGAATTTAATTATCTACCTACCTATCTATAGAATATTCATCCACAGCTATATGAATTGGGAAAAAAAAAGACCATATAGCCTAGCTGGTTGAGTGTGGACCTATGAACCAGGAGATCACAATTTGATTCCTGGTCAGGGCACATACCTGGGTTCGGGCTTGATCCCCAGTAGGGGGCATGCAGGAGGCAGCCGATCAGTGATTCTCTCTCATCATTGATGTTTCTATCTCTCTCTCCCTCTCTCTTCCTCTCTGAAATCAATAAAAATATCTTTTTTTTTTTAAAAAAAAGAACATATAGCTCTATTCATCTCATTTAAAGATCAAGTCCATTAAAACTTTACTCTTCTTGTTTAGTATTTATAAAATGAATAATATATTTATGTTATTTTGATCAACCATGTATTACTGTCGAATAATCTAGAAGGAATTTTAACATCTAGTTCCTTATGATAATAGAAAATTTGCACTTTAATTTATATTAAATTTTAGGGGATTATGATGGATAATCATAAGATTTTAAACAAGAAATACTTTTATGTTGGATTAAAATTCTTGTGGGAGAAGTGAAATAAAAATAGTTGTTAAAAAAAGGGCTTATAAAACAGTATGAAGGTTTCTCAAAAAAATTAAGCATAGTATTACCACATGATCCAACCATTCCACTTCAGGTTATATACCCAGAAGAACTGAAAGCAGGGACTCGAGCAGATAATTTTGCACCCATGTTCATAGCAGTATTATTCACATTAGCCAAAAGGTGGACAACCAAAATGTCCATTGACAGATGAATAGATAAATAAAATGTAGTATATACATAAAGTCGAATATTCAGTGTTAAAATGGAATGAAATTCTGACACCAAGTATAACATGCATGAATCTTGAGGTCATTATGCTAAGTGAGGTAAGCCAGTCACAAAAGACAAATACTGTATGTATTCCATTTCTAGTCACCTGAGTAGTCAAATTCAGAGATAGAAAGTAGTTTTTTACACACATTATTGCTAATTCTCATAACTTTTAGAGATAGGAGGTACTAATTCTAACTTGACAAATGAGAAAAGACTCCCTTATGGTAGGCTTGAAAATCACCTTAGAATTTTCAGAAATAAAGTGATTTGGCAGACTCCTGTTTCAGCTAGAATTGATAACCAGAACAGCGAGCTGAGGTTTTTGTCCAGGGTTGTGTCTCCTGAAGCTGAAAAATGAGATCACAGACCTGCAGATTTAAGCAAAAGCATGGAAAATTTGTTACAAGCAGGTTCAGCTCCCCTCACCCAATAATGGGTGTCCGGTGAAGCTAATCAGTCTGCTCTAGAGGTATATATGTGCTACAAGCCTGCTCTCTATCTGTCAACACCTGATTGATCCCCTCAATTGTGCTTGCCCAGCTACAGGCCTGAACTATCCTGTCCCTATGGGTCAGTTCACCTTATTGTTGCAGACTCTTCCTACTTTCACATACCTCCCGCTCTGAGCCTAGAAACAATTGTTATTCCTGCATGGTAGGTCTCTGTGATTAGGCCTGCTCAAACTGCCATGTCTGGCCCTGACTACATGTCACCTGCTTTTGTTTTCCTTTGGACCCCTGCCTGTCTGCCAACATGTCAAGCTAACTCCTCTCAGATTTTTAAAAGTCACAATCTTTTTTATTTTTAAATACATTTTTATTTATTTCAGAGAGGAAGGGAGGGGGAGAGAGCTAGAAACATCGATGAGAGAGAATCATTGATGGGCTGCCTCCTGCACGCCTCCGACTGGGGACTGAGCCCACAATCTGGGCATATGGCCCAACTGGGAGTCGGCACCGTGACCTCCTGGATCATAGGTCAGCGCTCAGCCACCGAGCCACCCCGCTGGCAAGCTGTAAAACATCTCTGGGAGTTCCTTTT